AAAGGTTATGAATCTAGCAGGGGTGTCACTAGCCCCATCTGTATGGCACCCTTGATTGAATTGGAGATAGATGCCCTTTCCTAAGACAATTTACTGGCACCTGCCAGAAAATTATGGTAGTTAGTATACAAATCTATGGGTGGTAGAGCCCAAGCAGGTTGAGGAGGGTGTCTGTGTGGAGGCGATCCATGGCAGGAGTGGCCCGGTGCAGGGTATTTGGAGCTTGGGAAGGGGGTCTACATAGTGAGGAGATCTACTGCAGGATGAGATAGGTGTGTCTGGGCATGTGGGCAGCCTGGTGTGGGGTGAGGAGGGATATCCATATGGAGGGCAGGACAGTGCAGGGTATCAAAGCTCAAGAGGATTGAGAAGGGAGTTTATGTTGAGGGGAGAATATAGGCAGTGGTGACCTGCTGTGGAATGATCTAGCAAGAGATGCCAGAGCCTGAGCAATGTGAGAGGTGGGTGTCTGTCTGGTAGGACTTGGGGGAGATTGGTTTCATATAGGAGTATTGATCAGATAAGTAAATGTGTTAAGGGTAATGGGAAAGGAGAAAAGTAGATGGATCCTGTGACATTAGATTGCTGTTGTTGTTAGGTGCTGTGTAGTCTGTTTTGACTCATAGTGACCCTGTGTACCACAGAATGAAACACTGCCTGGTCCTGCACCATGCTCACAATCGTTGTGCTTGAGCCCATTGATGCAGCCACTGTGTCAGTCCATCTCATTGAGGGTCTTCCTCTTTTTCACTGACCCTCTACTTTACCAAGCATGATGTCCTTCTCCAGGGACTGATCACCTCTAACCACGTATAAAGTATGTAAAATGTAGTCTCGCCAGCATTGCTTCTGAGGAGCATTCTGGTTGTACTTCTTCCAAAACAGATTTGTTCCTTCTTTTGGTAGTCCGTGGTATATTTGGTATTCTTCGCCAGTACCACAATTCAAAGGCATCAATTCTTCTTCGGTCTTCCTTATTCATTGTCAAGCTTTCGCATGCATATGATGCAGTTTAAAATATCATGGCTTGGGTCAGGCACACCTTAGTCTTCAAGGTGACATCTTTGCTTTTCAACACTTTAACAAGGTCTTTTGCAGCAGATTTGCCCAGTGCAATGCGTCTTTCAACTTCCTGACTGCTACTTCCATGGGTGTTGATTATGGATCCAAGTAAAAAGAAATCCTTGAAAACTTGGATGTTTTCTCTGTTTATCATGATGTTGCTTACTGGTCCAGTTATGAGGATTTTTGTTTTCTTTATGTTGAGGTGTAATACATACTGAAGGCTGTGGTCTTTGATCTTCATCAGTAAGCGCTTCAAGTTCTCTTCACTTTGAGCAAGCAAGGTTGTGTCATCTCCATAATGCAGGTTATTAATGAGTCTTCCTCCAATCCTGATACCACATTGTTCTTCGTATAGTCCAACTTCTCGGATTATTTGCTCAGCATACGAATTGAATAGATATGGTGAAAGGATACAACCCTGATGCATACCTTTCCTGACTTTAAACCACGCAGTGTCCCTTTGTTTTGTCTGAACAACTGCCTCTTAATCTACGTACAGGTTCGTCAGGAGTACTATTAAGTGTTCAGGAATTGCCATTCTTTGCAGTGTATCCATAATTTGTTATGATCCACACAGTCGAATGCCTTTGCATAGTCAATAAAACACAGGTAAACATCTTTCTGGTATTATCTGTTTTCAGCCAGGATCCATCTGACATCACCAGTGATATCCCAGGTTCCACATCCTCTTCTGAATCCAGCCTGAATTTCTGGCAGTTCCCTGTCAGTATACTACTGCAGCCGCTTTTGAATGATCTACGGAAAAATTTTACTTGCGGTGATATTGATGATATTGTTTGATAATTTCCACATTTGGTTGGATCGCCTTTCTTGGGAATAGGCATAAATATGGGTCTCTTCCAGTTGGTTGGCCAGGTATCCGCCTTCCAAATTTCTTGGCACAGACGAGTAAGCACTTCGAGCACTGCATCTGTTTGTTGAAACATCTCAGTCGATATTCTGTCAATTCCTGGAGCCTTGTTTTTCGCCAGTGCCTTCAGCGCAACTTGGACTTCTTCCTTCAGTACCACCGGTTCCTGATCGCATGCTACCTCTTGAAATGATTGAATGTCGACCAGTTCTTTTTAGTATAATGACTTTGTGTATTCTTTCCATCTTCTTTTGATGCTTCCTGCGTTGTTTAATATTTTCCCTGTAGAATCCTTCAGTGTTGCAACTCAAGGCTTGAATTTTTTCTTCATTTCTTTCAGCTTGAGAAATGCTGAGCATGTTCTTCCTTTTTGGTTTTCTATCTCCAGGTCTCTGCACATGTCATTATGATACTTTACTTTGTCTTCTCGAGCCACCCTTTGAAATCGTCTGTTCAGTTCTTTTACCTCATCATTTCTTCCTTTTGCTTCAGCTACTCGACGTTGAAGAGCAACTTTCAGAGTCTCTTCTGACATCCATTTTGGTCTTTTCTTTCTTTCCTGTCTTCTTAATGACCTCTTGTTTTCTTCATGTATGATGTCCTTGATGTCATTCCACAACTTGTCTGGTCTTCGGTCATTAGTGTTCAGTGCATCAAATCTATACTTGAGATGGTCTCTAAATTCAGGTGGGATATACTTAAGGTTGTACTTTGGCTCCTGTGGACTTTGTTCTAATTTTCTTCAGTTTCAGCTTGAACTTGCATATGAGCAGTTGATGATCTGTTCTGCATTTGGCCCTTGGCCTTGTTCTGACTGATGATATTAAGCTTTTTCATCATCTCTTTCCACAGATGTAGTCGATTTGATTCCTGTGTATTCCATCCAGTGAGGTCTGTGTGTATAGTCGTCGTTTATGTTGATGAAAAAAGGTATTTGCAATGAAGAAGTTGTTGGTCTTGCAAAGTTCTGTCATGCTATCTCTAGCATCGTTTCTATCACCAAGGCCTATTTTCCAACTACCGATCCTTCTTTGTTTCCAACTTTCACATTCCAAACACCAGTAATTATCAATGCATCCTGATTGCATGTTTGATCAATTTCAGACTACAGAAGCTGGTAAAAATCTTCAATTTCTTTATCTTTGGCCTTAGTGGTTGGTGCATAAATTTGAATAATAGTCATATTAACTGGTGTTCTTTGTAGGTGTATGAATATTATCATATCACTGACAGCATTGTACTTCAGGATAGATCTTGAAATGTTCTTTTTGACGATGAATGCAATGCCATTCCTCTTCAGGTTGCCATTCCCAGCATAGTAGACCATATGATTATCTGATTCAGAATGACCAATACCAGTCCATTTCAGCTCACTAATGCCTAGGATATCGATGTTTTTAATCATTCCACTTCATTTTTGAGGATTTCCAATTTTCGTAGATTCATGCTTCGTACATTCCACCTTTTGATTTATTAATGGATGTTTGCAGCTGTTTCTTCTCATTTTGAGTTGTGCTACTTCAGCAAATGAAGATCCCGAAAGCTTGACTCCATCCACATCATTAAGATCGACTCTACTTTGAGGAGGCAGCTCTTCCCCAGTTGTCTTTTGAGTGCCTTCAAACTGAGGGGCTCATCTTCGGGTACTATATCAGACGGTGTTCCGCTGCTATTCATAAGGTTTTCACTGGCCAGTTCTTTTCAGAAGTAGACTGCCAGGTCCTTCATCCTAGTCTGTATTAGTCCAGAAGCTCAGCTGAAATCTATCTGCCACGGGTGACCCTTCTGGTATCTGAATATCGGTGATGTAGCTTCCAGCATCACAGCAACACGCAAGCCCCCACATTCGACAAACTGACAGACACGTTGGGGGGCATTAGATTGGAATTGGATGTATCAGTGTGAACTCATATTTTTAAAGGTTTATATCTGTATGTAAATGTGTGTGTGTATAACCTGTTGCCATCAAGTTGGTTCCGACTCATAGCGACCCTATAAGACAAGAGTAGAACTGCCCCATAGGGTTTCCAAGAAGCAGATGGTGGATTCTAACCACTGAGTCACCAGGGCTCCGTGTGTGTGTGTGTGTGTGTGTATATATGTGTATATATATGTGTGTGTGTGTGTGTGTGTATTATATACAAACATTCATATAGTACATGTAATACACACATGCACTCTGAAGAGGCCTAGGAACAGTGACATCCCAATAGTAAGGAGAATCTCTAGTTCCCAGATCTTGATTTCATCTAGGATGACAATGAGATGTGTATGACTTCCACTGTAACTACACACCTGTATGTGAAGGCTGTTTTAGGACTTTGTTCTTCTCATAGGAGAACCGTGAGAAGTACCAACATAATTAATCTGGGAGTGATATATTTCATGGAGTACATTTTCCAAATAAGTCTTCCAAGTATCAGAATGCTTTTTTAAGTTATACCTTTTTTTTTAAATTTTTGCCTATATGAACAGAGTACTTGGTTATGTCTTTTATGTATGACTGAGGTTCTAATTTTGTGAATATGGTTGTGTTCTGAAATAATATGTAGACCTAGATCCACTTTAGTCTTTGGAGTTTTGTTTTGGTCTTACCTGTGAATATCTGATTTTCAGTTCTACTGATGCCATAGTGCCTCTGTTTAATACTTTGCCAGTTCTCTTTCCAGTGTGCTATTTCTAATGTACAAAACCCCTGTGGAACACGGTTCTACTGTGACACACGTGGGGTCGCCATGAGTTGGAATTGATTGGATACAACTGGTTTGTAGTCTCAACAAGATCTATGCTTTTTACATTTTTTATATTATGTTAAAACTTTCTGTAAGGAATGAGGATTAAGGTTCTTTATCATAGCAATGTGGTGCTCATAGGACCTTCTTCAGTTTAATTCAGGATTGTGGCTAGACCTCTAAGAGTTCTGAAAAATGCAAAGTTACTATAAATAGAAATGGATTCTACTGTCATTTTACTAACCTTTATTAGAATGTCAGATGAAATCAAGAAATTTTAAAGGAAAACCACCTTGATCTTTTTTTTTTTTTTTTTTTTTTTTTAATTCTAGAGCTCCAGAGATTATATTGGGGTTGCCATTTTGTGAAGCCATAGACATGTGGTCGTTGGGATGTGTGATTGCAGAATTATTCCTTGGATGGCCGCTCTACCCAGGAGCCTTGGAGTATGACCAGGTAATAGATCGGTCATGGTAATCTAGTGAAATTGGTCAAAAATAAAGACTAATAATAGACTTACAGGAATACATGGCACCAGGTATATATAATACGTGTGAAAATCTTTTTAAAATAAAGTGGTCAAACTTGGGATATAAAGTTTAAATTCAAGATCTCAAACCAGTATTTAATTAATAAAATATAATGCTGAATTAACTTTTCATAAACAAAATTACAATCCAAAGGTCCCAAAACCCCAGTTTTAGAAAGCTTTTGGGACAATTTTTTTGTATCAGGTATTTTATACCATAGACATCTAAAGTGCTGAGCTTATGTGTCTTTAAATAATTGTGCTTTGCTTTGATGACAAACTTTCGATGAAATTTTTGCCTCTCTCAAGGAATAAAAACTCCAAAAGGCATCATAACTTTCGGTCTTAAACCAAAACCACCACTGGTCTTAAGTACCTCAGTCGCTGAACCCTCTTCATTGTCTTCAGTTGTTTTTGAGTGGTACTTTAAGTCTAGTTGAGCGCAATTTAAATGATTCTAGTAGAATCCAGAAAATTACCTCATTAAACTCATTTTTCATTATAGTTTTCGGGTATGTGTTTACTTAAGCTGTTAGACACTATTGCTTGTCATCTTATTCTTTGAAAGAGTTTCATAGTATCTTTTTATTAGACAGATACTCAGCTCATATTTTAGTGAAAAATGTCAGTCAGAATTAACAAAGTGTTTAAATTAATTTTGTCTTTCTGAAATTGGCTTACAGTGGGTAGAGTAATTTTTATTTAGATAATACACTATTTAACATTTAAGCTAGAAATAGACAAGAAAAGAGAACATTTTAAAGTACATGTGGCATAATGATATAATATGTTGTGCTTTTAATTTTCAGGGCTTAGTTTTTCTATAGCAAAAGGAATATAAGAGGTAATTAATTTGGATGATTTAAATGTTCCTGAGGTGACTCTCAAAGTCAATTTATGTTAATTATTTGGTTATATTTTATCATTGGCTTTCATCTGTCATCTTCAAGTGACTTTCTACCCATTAACTTTCCTGTTTTTATGCCAGATTTCCTGTATTCTCGCCTTTCTTCCTCTTCCCTCCCCTCCCCATGTTCAAGATACCTCTTAAAAGACAGTTTCTGTAAAATTTTCCATACTTCCTGGCTGCCTTTAGTGATGTTCACTGTACTTTTTACCCAGTCACTAACTGCTTTTGATACAGATGATAAACTATTGCTAGTTCTGAAGGAGTTGACAATCTAGTAGGAGACTCCCAAGATCGCTTAGCTGCTAAAGAAGCACTGAGGCATCAGTCAAATGCTAGAAATGTATCTTTGGCTTTGCAGATTACAATTTATGCCACGCATAGTACCCTAGAACAGGACACCATCTAGTGGCAATTTCAAGTTGGTCTTTATAATTCTAGTCTTGGACAACTAATGTTAATACTGACAGCGACCCAAAGATTATCTAGTTAATTTCAAAGTAGTACAGTGATTGAAAAAAGATGTTAGCATATAGCATCAATAGTTGCACAATTGCATGTGAAAAAAGTAGGAAACAAACAGGATCTCTAGAACAATACCATTTATGTAAGTTTTAAATTGCATAGATATACAAATAAAATGATGTATTTTTCAAAGCTATATAGTATCAAGGACATATACCAAACAAATGAGAGTGGGCTTCTTTGGGGAGTAATCAGAGATGAAACAAATACCCAAAAACCAAGCCCGTTGCTGGCCAGTTGATTCTGACTCTTAGCAACCCAATAGGACAGAGTAGTACTGCCCCATAGTGTTCCTAAGGCTGTAAATCTTTTACGGAAGCAAACTGCCTCATCTTTCTCCTGAGGAGCAGCTGGTGAGTTTGAACTGCTGACTTTTTGGTTAGCAGCCAAGCGCTTAACCACTGTGCCACCAGGGTTCCTTGGAGATGAAGCAAGGAAGGAAGGAAAGAGGAAGGGAAAAAGTAGGGAAGGTAAACGAAGGGAAAGAAGAAGGAAGGAAACAAGAGACATGCAAGAGAGGACCTTATGCAAACTAATTGCCTAATTTCCTTGCCTGTTTTTTCATTGGTGTCTTCATTCTTGATATGAAGTTTTTTGTATATTCTAGATATTATACCCTGGTATAATACCCCTTTTTGAAGTTGCAGATATATTCTACTCATCTGTTACTTGTCTGGTAACTTCTGTTGGTTAAGTAGAAATTCATAATTTTTATATTAAGTTCATTGATTTTTGGGCGGTATTTAAAACATTCCAGTCCCATTGCAAGGATGCAGGGTATTCATGTACATTTTGCTCTACAGCTTTTTAGTTTTACTGTTTACATTTAGATCTCTAATCCATCTGGAGCCTGCTTTTGTAAATGGTGTGAGATATGGATATAATTTTTCATTTATCCATATAATGTATCTGTTTTCTCAGCACTGTTCATTAAACAATCCACCTGTTCCCCACTGGGTCTCTGTCTGTTGTGTTACAGATATTTCTTAAATGTCTGTTGACCTTTAGCTGTCTGTTCATATTTAAGAGGAGACATAGAAGTCTGTGTGTGTAAATGGGGGTTTGTCGACTGATAGGTTTCGGTATAGGCAATCTAGGAGCACTTGGTAAGGTCTTGCTCTTGGGGCTGTTCATCTTTTCCAGAAATGAATCGTTTAATATTGTATACGGCAGAAGCTTAACTGCCAGTGTTCTGAAATCTGAATGAGGATGAGGGCTGAGGGATTCTCATGATTTAGAAAGTAAGCTTTCACATAATCCTGCTTCCACTGGGGAACTTCATTTCTGCCTTCATCATTCCTCCCTTCGATATTTCCAGCAAGTAAGTCTCCAGCCTTTCAATCTTCTGCCGATTATATGGAGTGGTGGGAGCTAGGGGTTAGTTCTGGAGTCCTAAGAGGTTCTTATACTTTCAACCAGTCCCCTTGTTTTTAGTTAGATGCCATACCCCAGTACTCAGAGGTACCTGGCATCTAATTCCTTAGCTCTTAGGAATGTAGTTGCTCAGTTAGACTTACTTCTTGTTCACCTTTCTCCATTACTCTTGTTCATTCATTTTTCAGTTTGATGAAATCAGCATCTCTTGTTTGCTGTTATCTCCTCTCCTATAATTTGCCCTTATAGGTTTGCAGTGCCTTTTCTATTTGTTCACTGTCACTTTAATGGGAGTTTTAGAAGGAAGTGGAGATAAGTGTGTATTCAATCTACCATGTGTAGCTACGTATCAAAGTAAGATGAGGATTAATATATGACTATTAAATTTGTCAGTTAAGGTACTTACTTTAGTACCATATTATCGGAATGATGAGAGTAGAATTAAGATTAAAGTGTGCTGTGAGGTGTCAGTGGGAGGTGAAATAATATAGGCTACTTCTTTAAGATGCTTAACTAAGTGAGAAAAGAGAGAGTTAAAGTAGTTAAAGGAGGTTTTGTTTTCCTTTTTTTTTTTTTTTTTTTTACTTTTCTTTGTGGACAGATCTGTGAGAAAAATGAATGTCACATTTTTTTTTTTTTTTTTTTTGAGGATAGAAGATATTGAACGTTTTTGTAGACTCAGAGAGGGTAAAGAACTCCTAAAAAGAAGAAGTACAAGATGCGGGAGATGTTGGATTAATTGATAGAGCAGAATCCCCATGGTTAAAAAAAAGAAAAGATCCCAGAATTCTAAAATACAGTTAGAGGAGTTAAGTCTTAATAATAAGAAATGGTAGAGGGACTATTTTAGCCCTCAGAGAGCTGTCCCTTTTCTAAGCCTCTGTCCCTGTGCCTCGCAGCGATTAAATCAAGGAACAAATATTTGAAGACCCACTGTGTACTGGCACTCTCGTGGGTGCTGGGGATACATAAGTAAACAAAACAAAGTCCCTTCCCTCATAGACCTTACATTCTAATGGAAGGTGAGCAAGAAAAAAAGAAAGTAAATGTATAGAATATCAGATGGTGAAATGTACAGCGGAGAAAAATAGAGCAGAGTAAGGAAGAGGGGCATAGTGGCTAAGAGCTATGGCTGTTAACCAAAAGGTCGGCAGTTCGAATCCACCAGGCACTCCTTGGAAACCCTATGGGGCAGTTCTACTCTGTCCTATAGGGTTGCTATGAGTTGGAATCAACTCGATGGCAATGGGTTGGTTGGTTTTTGGTTGGGGAGGGGAGAGCTTGCTATTTTTTATTGGTGGGTCAAGGCCCCATGAATAAAGTGATATTTCAGCTGAGAGCTAAGGAAAATGAGAAGAGAGAGCCATATAGATAGATACCTGGGGAAAGAGTCTTCCAAACAGAAAGAATGTTAAGTTCAGAGGCCCTGAGGCTGGAGGCCTTCCGTATTCTCCTTGGAAGAGCTTATCTACACCGATGGTTCTTCGTCTACTGACACAACCCCACATATATGCCAGTGACTCATAGAAGTGTTCCTTCTGTGGCTCCCACAGTAATAATTCAACCATCTAAGTCTCTCTTGAATCCATTGCTTCCTTTCTATCCCCATTCTGTCAGTTTAGGTCCCTTTCAGTTTCTCCTCTGGCCTCACCCCTCATCATTCTTACATATTACTTTAAAAAAATGTACATTTTCAATTTCCGGCTTAAATTCCTCCAGCAGTTTCCCATTTACTCCTGGAGTCAAACCAAAACTTCTTAACTTGCTGATACAGCCCTTTTCCTGCTTTCAGGTTCAATTTCCTCTCTTGCCATCGTTCCCATAGTGAACTTCTGTACTTCTAGTCCCTGGATTTGTGGATATTCTCTCTTAATTTTCCATATTTACACATATTTTGATCTGAGCCTAGATTGGGTTCTTCCTACCTCCACAGGACGCTTATTTGTCCTTTACGACCCAACTTGAGCATTATCTCTTCTGGAATCTTTACTGACTATAATTGTTTTAGGTACCACTTCTGTCTTTCCATAGTGCAAACCTTTATTATGGCACTTAACACTGTATTATAATTGTTTACTTGTATAGTCTCCACTCAGTTGTGGATTTTTTGAAGACACAGACTGTCTTTTCATTCCTGCTCGAAAGCTTAGTGTCTGATATGTGGTAAGTGTTCAATTAATGTCTATTGCATGAAAAAAATAAATTCTTCTGTGTTATAAATTATTTTTCAGATTCGATACATTTCTCAGACTCAAGGTTTACCAGGAGAGCAGTTGTTAAATGTGGGTACAAAATCCACAAGATTTTTTTGCAGAGAAACAGATATTTCTCATTCTGGTTGGAGATTAAAGGTAATTCATAAAATATATATATATAATATTTAGAAAAAAATGCTTTTCCAAGATGCCTCATATGTATGGATAATAACCTCTAAGCTTATTTTTATTTTATTACATTTCTTTCTTCTTTTGGATTTTCATTTTTGACCCTTCTTTCTTTGACATGAAAGCTTTCCCAGAATAACTTAGCTCATTCTCTTACCTAACAATATAATTTTAACTCATTTTTTAAGTTTCTTAAACTTCTTAGAGTATAATTCCATTTGTTGTGTGTATTTCATTTTCTCTGTCCAGTTCTGCATTATTAAGCTACATAGGGCAAGGGCTGAATCTGACCGCTTACTACATATCCCAAGTACTTAATTTATTGCTAGGACCTTTGGGAGATCAGTAAATTCTCAGTGACTAACTTGATAATTAGTTATTTTGTTTAAGGAGTTTTATTATATATATATATATGTACTTGGCCTGAACCAAGCTCTTCGGATTTTTTAAAAATACATGTTTGATAGTTACTCCTTCGGAACTTCTGTTTGCCTTAGAATAGTCAGTGTAATAGACTAAATGTGCCCGGGTTAAAGAAATAAAAATTTACAGATGGTGGTTAACAATGTATTATTTTCCCTTTTTGATATATTCAATAAGACTCTAGAAGAGCATGAGTCAGAGACAGGAATGAAGTCTAAAGAAGCCAGAAAGTACATATTCAACAGTCTGGATGATATAGTGCATGTGAGTACCACAGTCAAATTTGGCAATCTTATATGCTTAAGATGGTAGACTTGAATGCCAAGGATGCCAAAACATGTTAATCATTTTCTAAATGACTATGAGTGTTTGCTGTTTTTGAGTTTTTCAAATGAAATTTATTTCTAAGATTTTAACCTTTTGGGAATGAAATTGCATTTGTCTTTGTTAGATTTTTAATTTGTACTATCGTATTCTTTAGTAAAAATTACTCTTTAAAAGGAAAAATTCAAGCAAACAATTTTCTTTTCCTTATATCTCATTAGAAAAGGATATTTGTTTAACCCACTGCCGTCGAGTTGATTCTGACTCATAGTGACCCTATAGGACAGAGTAGAACTGCCCCATAGGATTTCTAAGGCTGTAAATCTTTATGGAAGCAGACTGCCACATCCTTTTCCCGTGGCGTGGCTGGTGGATTTGAACTGCCGACCTTTTGGTTAGCAGCTGAATGCTTTAACCAGTGTGCCACCAGGGCTCAGAGCGGATATTTGTTTAGTTAAAATAATCTTTTTCCCCTGCCTTGAGTATCCCATTTGATATCTGAAAACCTAAGCTTAATTGTTCTTTCTTGTTTCAAGGTAGTTGTAGTTCCTTGTTCTTTCCTTTGTTGTGATACATTTTTTTTTTAAATTGTGAAACTTAAAAGTTGTATTACCCTCTATGGTTTATTTTTTATTTGATAACTTGAAATTTTGATTTCTTAGGTGAACACAGTGATGGATCTGGAAGGAAGTGATCTTTTGGCTGAGAAAGCTGACAGAAGAGAATTTGTTAGTCTGTTGAAGAAAATGTTGCTGATTGATGCAGATTTAAGAATTACTCCAGCTGAGACTCTGAACCATCCTTTTGTTAATATGAAGCATCTTCTAGATTTTCCTCATAGCAACCAGTATGTTATTTTAAAATCGTTTGAAAGTGATGCTGGAAAAATAATATTAGGTTTATAGAAAATCAGTGTGTTAGAAAAATGATTTTATTTCTTCATTGAATATAAGTAAACTGCGTCAAAAGAGGTTAAGCTACCTTGATCGAGTTCATGTAGAATAGTAAGTGGCTGAGCAGAACTAGAGCACAAGTCTGAATTGCAGTCGTGTTCTTTCTCCAAAATACCAAAGTGAAAATAAGACTGAATAGTTTTGTTTTTACATTACATTCTCTCTTTAACAGCCAGAAAAGGGAATGTTAACAGTTTTCTCTCCCAAGTCATGTTTGAATTATCATAGGCCTTAGAGTCTATTCTCTTCTGAGTCCTGCAAACTAGTTTCCATTTCCTTTCATATCACTTGCTTTCCTTTTTCCTCCTCTTTCTTGTCTGCAGTGTGGAGGGGCTGGAGATTTTTTATGAGATGGTAGAGAAGAATATATGTTCAAATTCAGAAGACCTTATCAGTATTACCTTGGGCAAATCTTTTGAATTCTTTGATCCCCAGACCTCTTGTTTATGGGATAAAGGGAGTAAAATAAGTGACTTAAAACTGCTTTTAAAAAATATTTTTAGAAGACTGAATAAAGAAGACATAGGGATGAACCAGTATTTAATATTGTGAATTGTCCTTAAAATTCATGTTTCTATAAAGCCCAACTACATTTTCCCCCCAAACATTTAAAAATACCATAATGGTTTCCACATACAAGGGCTTTGAAAGTAACATCATAACCACATACTTGGTACCATTTATTTAGGGGTGTGGGTTTCTAGAAATTCAGCAAAAATTATTTAGGGTAGAGGTCATAAAATTATTTTTTGTTAACCAAGAAATGCTTATTATTGTTTGCTGTCTTAAAAAAAAATATTGCAGATATAAGATTTCTTGCATTGAAATTAGATCTTTTGTTTTAAGATTTCTTGGTAGAAACAGTATTGGAAATAAGCAGACCAAGTGCAAATGATAGAATTCTTTTCTCTTTTGGAAGTGATTTTTAAATTTTGTTCATGTACATTAATTTTAAACTACTCTAAGCATTTAAAATAATACAATTACCTGTCGTATCTTCTTTTGCAGTGTAAAATCCTGTTTTCATATTATGGATATTTGTAAGTCCCATCCAAATTCATTTGACACAAATAATCACAATAAAACATCACTTTTAAGACCAATTGCTTCATGCAGTGCTGCTAATCTGACAGGAAATTTCACTAAAATTGGCACATTAAGAAGTCAGGTAAGAACTTAACAGTGTTTAATTATTTATATTCCTCTTTTTTTATGATTACTCGTTTTACTTTTGAAGTATACAGATGTTTCATGTTGGCAGTTAGAATTTGTAGTGCTGGTAAGGTCTTACTATGACTATTCTATTAAATCTCTAATACTTCAGGGTAACGATTGGAACATAATCTACTTAAAGTCATCTTTTTATTTCCTCTTTCATTCTCTTCAGTATCTTCTACCTGCCCTTCAATGCCACAACTCTACCAAAAACAGTGATTTTTCTGGTTCTGTAGGATCAGTTTCAACTTGCTTTGGTGCTCATTTCTGGGCCCGTTTTTATTGTGGAAGTACAATTTTAAGAAGTGTGTTTGAATTCTATTTATGATGTATGCGTGTAGCAATTAGAAGACTGCTCTATATAATGTGATGTACATTGATTATTTCAGGCATTAACCACATCTGCTCATTCAGTTGTGCACCATGGAATACCTCTGCAGGTGGGAACTGCTCAGTTTGGTTGTGGTGATGCTTTTCAGCAGACACTGATTATCTGTCCCCCAGCTATTCAAGGTATTCATTTAAATTATATTTTGAATTTAGGCGTGTTATTTTTAAACAAATTTAGATGTCTGTTCATTAAATACATTGTATAGTTTTTACTGCATTTAGTGCTACATTTGAATTTAATTTAAGCTGTTCAAAAGGCCTCTAGACCAGTGACATTCATTTCTTGACTGGAGCTCCATTGTAATCATCATTAACAAAATGGGTCTTATGGCAGTTGCATTGTCTGTAGAGTCCAGCATGATAAATACCGTAATAGGGATTAATGAGTTTGGAAGGCTGTGATACCTATATTGGGTATCACTGCTCTGGATGCTCTTAACCACTGTGCCACCAGGGCTCCTCTTTACCCATAGTTTAGGTAAAAACATTATGGCTTGATTTTTGATTACATTAGATTGTGCCCTTATTTAGATAATAATTGCAAATTAAATTTTTCAGTCGGGTAGATGGCAGAACGCTTTTGAAGAGGCCATAAATTCTCAAACTGAGAAATCTCTTATAAGACAGTAACAACAAAACTTGTGACTGGATTCACAGGATTTTCTCCTTGCTAGGCTTTAACATCTAGTTATATCTTAAGAGGTAGATTACAAATGGAGTCCTAAATGACTATTTGAACTTGGTGGTAATACTCTATAGTATGAATGAAAGCAGTTGGTGCCATCAGGATACCTGGGATCTATTTCTGTTTCTGCGATTAACTTTGTCATCGTAGACAAGTATCTTAACCTTAGTAAAATGAAACAGACTGAGTAGATAATATCTTGGCCATTTCTAACTCTAATATTTCTGGATTCTGAATTTAAATTTTTATTTGATTTAAAGATTGGAGCAACCGTTTAAAAATTTCGATCTCTCTCTCAGTGCCTAATAAAGCACCAAGAATATGTTTATTGACTTGATTGACTGCTGACGAGATGTGAAGCAGGTCGAATCTTTAGCCACTGTTTTTCAGCCAGGGTATCTTTACTTTCATCTTTTTTATATATTGCATTTTCATATAAGGTTTCATTGGGACAACTGAAAATGTAAAAAATGTCAGCTTAGATGGTTGATTCTCACTGATATTGGGGCTGTAATGGTGATCTGTGACAGTGACCTATGGCTGGTCTCTGGTAGTAAAAATGTCCGTGTCATTATATTGTCAGCACTCTTAAAGATGTTGTTGTATTTGTTCTTTGGTTTTCCCCAACTGTTAATTATAAAAATTTCAAACATACAGAACAGTTGAGCAAATAACCTTCAGTAACCCTAGCTTCAACAAGTGTTAACATTTTGCCATATTTGCTTTATCTGTTGATCTAGCTACACGTACATACACCATTTGAAAGGAAGTGGTAGACTTTTGACATTTCACCTCTAAATACTTGAGCGTGCAATACTGACGCTGATTTTTGTTTTTTAATCAGTTATACTCAAGTGGTGTCTTAATAAATGCATTTCTCTCCATGTACCAAAATCAATTGGTGGGTCACTCACCAAGATTTGGAATAGTAACTTTTTTTTCCCAGAGCCTACCTCCTGTGTATAGCAAAAACTGAAGAGATTTAGGAGACACATTTCTAAACGTGTTGAGCATAATTCTGAAAACATTTCAGTGAAGCTAGATAAATTATATGGTAACAGCTATATGCATGGTTTGCAATAAGGACAACAGGAAGAAAAGAACCAGATGCTCTCAAACTCATTAACCTATTAAATATCAAAAACAGTACTTTTGAATTAGAATTAATAGTGAGACAAAGCAAAGTATAATAAATTTTATGTTTATTCTCCTTCAATTTAAATTTTCATTTTATTTTAGAGGTATAGTGTTTAGGTTCATCATGCATTTCATATACTTTAGATATTACAGATATAATATGTAAGTATAGGTATATAAATGCTATTATATGTAACACTATGCTGCCTTCTTTTAAGTACAGGAGACTCAGCCAAGCATTTATTTAACAAATCAGAGTGTATGTTTTATGTATTAAACAAACATTTAAAATTATTTAGCAATCTGAGAAGTAAATTATTCATCACCCTGGGTGAAAACTAATATTTTGGAGTCAAATTCATTCTAGCAAAATTCATTGTTTTACTAGAACAATCTTGATAAGCTTTTTGTGTCCTGCCCTCTAAGTACTAAAGCAAATCTAATCAAAGGCAAAAGTTTTTGCTAACCCTGATAACTCTATAGAAAATTGGGATCTTAACCCACTGATGGATTTGATAAAAAGACAGTAGGAGAATTCTTCTTAAGGCATTGCTTATGTAGAGAATTTAAAGGCAACCTTATTTTTCTTGGGATTTGAGAATTCACAGTGTCCTTTCATCTTTATCAAAGTGAGTTCTGCTTTTTTCTCTGAAGAGAATATCCATTGCTACACTGTGTCTGTATTGTCTGGGTGTGCTTATATTCCATTTCTCGGAGAATTTGCTGACCAAGACATGCTTTTTGGAAGGGATAAAAAAGATCAGTTAAAAAAAAAAAAAAATCAGTTCTTACGTAGCTCTTTAGATGGAGCTCGGGGGCAGAAGAACACCCTTGCCGTAGGAAAAAGGTTCTGTGAAGAAAATAAGCGCAACAAAATTAACGTTCTCCTTAGGACAAACACTTAAAATATATTTGTGCAATAAAAATTTTAAGGTTAAGCCCACTTTTCAGACAAAGATTATACAGGCCTTTAAAACAAAAAACACACAAGAGGAATGTACTTCTTAGTTCAGTCAAATATATGAGACCAAATGGGCAGCTCTTATCTAAAAGCAGGACGAGAAGGCAGGAAGGGACAGGAACTGGATGGATGGACACAGGGAACCCAAGGTGGAAAGGGGGAGCACGCTGTCACGTTGTGAGGATTGCAACCAATGTCACAAAACATTATGTGTATAAATTTTTGAATGAGAAATTAACTTGAGCTGTAAACTTTCACCTAAAGCACAATAAAAAGAAAAAGGTTATTTTTCAATAGACAAAGAAAAAAAAAATTAAGTATTTTTCCCTTATGGCTAACCAGAAACACCCAAGATAACCTTTATCCCCAAATTGATTATATTATATTTAAATAATCTCCCAGCCTAGATTGAAAGGAACTGCTGCAATAGACTGGAATTATGAAGTAGTGAATTTATCTGTTTATTTGAAGTAGTGACTTTAAATATCTGGTCATTGCCCTTTTTGATCTTGGGGAATGTTCTATAATCTTGCTGGTCAAGGCTGTATGTTGGGGGTGATGCTACTTTGCTGTCTCAAAATTTAATATCACCATCTATTGATCTCTATGCATCTGGAGCAACTGTTGATCTCTGTGTGTCTGGAGCAAAAGAGAAAGAAGGAAACCAGTAGTTTCAAAGATGAAACTAGTCTACAGGACTAAGCCTGCGTGAACCATGGTCTCATCTACCCTGAGACCAGAAGAAGTAGATAGTGCCTGGCTACCACTCCCAACCATTCTGATCAGGGACACAATAGATGGACCCTAACAGAATTGAGAGAAATGTAGAACAAAACTCAAGTTCTTAGAAAGCCCAGACTTACTGGACTGGTTGAGACTAGAGGTACTCCCAAAACTGTCACCCTGAGATATCCTTTAAACTTTGAACTGAAACTACTCCTGTCATGTTTCAGCTGAATAACAGATTGGCTTATAAAATAAACAGTATCACCTGTGAGTACTGTGCTCCTTTAAAAAATCATCTATACGAGACCAAATAGTCTACATTTACTCTAAAGCAAAGATGAGAAGGTAATGGAAGAAGGGGTGGGGGTAGAGGACAGGGAAACTAGATTAATGGAAATGGAACAACTAGAACAGAAGTAATGAGAATGTTGACACATTGTGAAAAACGTAACCGATGTCACTGAACAATTTGTATAGAAATTGTTAAATGGGAACCTAATTTGCTGTGTAAGCTTTCACCAAAAAACACAATAAAATATAAAAAATTTAATATCATAAGGCTTGTTGTTTCCTAAATGCTTTGTAATGCATGAGACAGAAATGTTAGCATTAACAGGATTGACATGGCTGATAATCCTGCTTTCTAATTTTTCTAGTGTGTAAGCAAAATGGTTACATGTTGTCTTCAAGTTCCAACATTTCTCTACTAGGAACAGTAGCAGGTTAAGCCACATTAGATAAAACTTAGTTATATCATCAAATTAGGTAGAAAAGGTAAATGTTTGCTTTTGTTTTGGAGATTAAAATGAGTGCGCTATTCCCTGAATTTTCTTTCGTCACGTAAACCATCATGCCCATTGAAGTGCGAAGTTGTGATGCATTCCTTTTTGGTGACAGGAGTGTTTATCATAAAGATCCTATCACAGTTGTAAAGAAGACAGTACTAAGCATACCTAAAAGTTTGTATAAAAAAATGAACATTTACACTGCTAGGTGATCAGGATGTTCAGCCAGCTTTACCTTCCCATGTCCTTTATCATTTTGGCAGAACTGTTTGAAAAGGAAAATAAGGCTACAATAGCAAACTTTAAAAGGAAATGAGAAGTTTTAAGAAAAATAGGTGATTCAGCTTTGATGTATGCATTTCGGAATAGTAGATTAGCTTTGCAACAGTTTTTTGGAATGAGGTGCCACAAGGTAGGCAGAAAGCACCTCGCTTTCCTAATAGATTTCTTTGTTAGTTTTATGAAAATTGTATGCAAGGAATGGTTTTATAAAGCTAATCAGAATTTTAGCAATTCTTTACATTTAAAATAATTTTAAGTTACATCAGAGAAATAACTTTTTCTTTCATTTGAGAACTGTTCTTTTCTATTTTACAGGTATTCCTGCAACGCACGGTAAACCCACTAGTTATTCAATAAGGGTAGATAATACAGTGCCACTTGTAACTCAGGCCCCAGCTGTGCAGCCACTACAGATCCGACCAGGAGTTCTTTCTCAGGTTGGTAATAATTCATTACTTTTGCCTATGTGCTATCCTCCTCACACGTTAGTAGAGGTACTGCTCCGTTTGGAATATATCAGCCTGTGCTGTTGGAAAACATGAAAATGACCTGGATGGGAATTTGATCCATCGTAGGTTATTGACTTTACTTTTTATAATTATTAGTTGATTATTACTTTAATATACTTTTAGTTTAAGATGCAGTAAAGATGAATTACTTATCACTTACTAGGTTTTTTTTTTGGATGCAGCAGACATGGTCTGGTAGAACACAGCAGATGCTGGTACCTGCCTGGCAACAGATAACACCCTTGGCTCCTGCTACTACTGCACTAACTTCTGAGGGTGTGGCTGGTTCACAAAGGCTTGGAGACTGGGGGTGAGTTAAAAATTAAAAAAACAAAAAACTTCTTGTGAATAGTTTGCAAAGTAGATCCTGGTAAAGAAAGGATTCAAATTTTCTGAACTTTCTCCCTAGGAAAATGATTTCACACAGCAATCATTATAGCTCAGTGATGCCGCAACCTCTGCTAACCAATCAGATAACTCTCTCTGCCCCTCAGCCAATTAGTGTGGGCATTGCACATGTTGTCTGGCCTCAGCCTGTCACTACCAAGAAAAATAAGCTGTGCCAGAACAGGTTGGTATTCTACTTTAACTTTGCTCCTCATTTTGAGAATTGATCTTTAAAATAAATTTTGCATGAACACTAAAGGGTCACTCTGTTGTATTCAAAATAACCTCTTTGATAGCCTTGCTACAAACACTAAGCCAGCTCCCTTCTCAATTTCTCAGAGGTATTTTGGTAAAACTAATGGAATGGGAGCCAGGAAGAGAGGAAATAAATGCTTTCAGTTGGTAAGATTGTCTTTATTGCCCTTTTGATTATTATCTACCTATACTGTAGCAATTTTAGACATCAGATACCACATTTACCTCCTCAAAAAAATGACCATTTGAATGTATGTAAATGCAATCTACATTCATGTTTCTAGAGATAATTATATTTTGTATCTGATAAAAACTCATGATTTTATGTTACTGTGCTATATACATGATTTTGAACAAGTGAAGGTTCATGTTGTCCGATTTAACAAATCTTAGAAAAATGTCCTGTACGTGTTTTGATTATAGACATTACACATTATTCCTTTGGTTGCAGGAGTAATTCATTGCAGAATACCAATATCCCCCATTCAGCATTTATTTCTCCAAAGATAATAAATGGGAAAGATGTCGAGGAAATAAGTTGTATAGAAACACAGGACAATCATAACTCAGGAGGAGAGGCAAGAAATTGTTGTGAAACATCTGTCAGACAGGACTCTGATTCTTCGGGTTCAGACAAACAGCGGCAAACCATCATCATTGCTGATTCCCCAAGTCCTGCCGTGAGTGTGATCACTATCAGCAGTGACACCGATGAGGAAGATACGTCGCAGAGACATTCACTCAGAGAGTAAGTGTGCCAAACGCAGCTTCTTATGTTTATGCTGGCATCCTCTGGTGTGGGGAGAAAAATCTCTGATTCATTTCTTGTGTGTCAATATCCTTTGAAGTAAAATCTTCAAATTAGATTATCAGATTTTAGACAGAAGGAACTTTTTAAATAGTATGCAGCATGGTTGTTATCGCATTTTTCAAAAATTTAAGCTTTAAGTCTTTGTCATGGGGGGTCATTCTGAAATGTTTCTTATCCTTAATTGAATAATGTAAATTTTAGCTACTTGGACAGTCTTCTCATTTTTGACCCTTTCTCCTTCTTTCTTCTATTAGATGTAAAGGGAATCTAGATTGTGAAGCTTGCCAGAGCACTTTGAATATTGATCGGATGTGTTCATTAAGTAGTCCTGATAGTACTCTGAGCACCAGCTCCTCAGGACAGTTCAGCCCATCGCCTTGCAAGAGACCGAACAGGTAAAGGAATTTCAACAGCAGTGTGTGATAAATACTAAGCCTACTAAAAAGCCTCTGATTTCTTTTTGTTGTTTAAATTAATAATTGCCTTCCATTTTACCACAGTGATTCCTCTTTTGAACATAATTTTTTTTAACTAGATTACTTTTTAAAAACTTAGGAATTAAATAGTAGTCATTTTCTGTGTTGCTTTAGAATAGCTCTAAATGTGAAATTGGGGGTCTGTTAAATGATTTTGTAAAAATCACCTGTTTTGGAAAGGGTAAAAAAGCCACATTATCAACTTCAGCTTTGCAGCGGACTACCATTGTACTTAATTTTGGAATTAAAGTATATACTTTGGCAAAATAAAAAAGGAAAGTTTTGCATAATGATGTACTGACAGGCCCACTGACTGTAGAATGTCTGCTATGATTTTTTTTCTCCCACTGGTGATTGATTTGCATGGTTTCATCTTTATTTCCTTGCTATCCTTTTGGTTAAGGACATGGCACGGCCACTAAAACATTGAGCTTCTCCTAACCAGCACGACGTACTACAAATTAACTGAGTGAAGTCACAAAAAATTTCAGTGAAGTACTTTTGATTTTAGCCTGTATATTTGATTTTTTTTTTTAAATGACAGCATAATTTGAAGTTTTTAGGTCTTAATTTTATACATTTGGCTTCTCTTTTTCCTTTGTTAGAAATAGGCTAGCGAATAGTTACAGCCAAAGCTATGTGGAGGATATAAGGAAGTTTAACACACCCTCTTCTTATAAGTTGCTTATAATATTGTTTAGAAGTTGACACATACATATAAAAAGAGATTGCTTATTGCTTCAAGTTGTTAAGTATGAGATGAGTAATTAAAACAGTAATTGCTATAGAAATCCCAGGGAGAGAGAGATTGTCAGGGCCCGAGAGGGTCAAGAAGAGAAGATATGAGAAAAGAGGCAGACCTTTCAGATAACTGGTAACTAAAGGAATCCAGATTACCACTAAAGGTACATTAGAATTTAATCTGAAATATCCAAGTCACATGGTTATATGTTTGTACATTTCATTTAAATTATCTAAAACAGTGCTTCTGAAATAGTGTCTTGATGAAATTATCCAGAATTTATAAAGGGGATTTTTTTTATATATA